GGTTTGCGCTCGCTCATGAAAGGCCCAGTATCTTGCTGTCACATGTAGAAGTGTGAAGGCCTGGACTGACTAAGGAGTTGCCCATGCCAAGTCTGCACCATTGTGCTGGTCAGGTCTGGCCACGCCAATAAATGTTAAAACAAGTAGATGGGAGTTTACACTCTCTCGGTGCATGTTACCACGCGAGTGACTCTTTGTAGATGCTCTGAAGTTACTACGTACGTTCAATGGCCAACGCCACAGGCACATGAGGCCGACGCTGCTATGAAGAGGTCGTTGTGACATGTTGCAACAAAGCTGAACAACCTCGTACGCGTTGCTATATTGCGTCCGTGTGTCGATAGCAGAGCAGATAGACCCCTAGCCGAGAGAAGGAGAAGTGAGCTTCTCCAAAGCCAACCTGGAAATTGGCCGCAGCCCGTCAGCTACAGGGCTTCCAGGTGAAAGAAGCATTGCTCAACAAATATGAAGCGAGAACTGCCATCAGGTGGCCTCCTTGTCGGGCCTCACTGCATCGCAGCCTGGAGCGTCTTTGCTGTGGATGAAGATTGCCTTTGTCGTGGAGCAATCGCAGGAAACCACAGCGTGCCAAGACGCTCATCTTTTTTAGCCGCTCCATTCCAGGAGCGGATTCTGCAACAGCTGCATTCAAAAGACTTAGCACTCAGCGTTTCGAAGGCTGTGTCCACACCTGGACAAAGCCTGTTGGACCTGTGAGGCCTTGGGGATGGTCCGTTGCTTCTCCACTCTTTGTTGCGGGTTCTGCACAGATAGGCCAGGTACAGTAACACAACATGGTTTGCCGTTGCCCGACTCTTTGATGCCCAGCTTCTGTTGAACATGCTGACGGCATGCTTGCATGCCATGCTTGCTATTCGCTCACAGACGCTTCCCAGCCCAGCCATCTTTACTCAGAGTTTGGCTACGACGTTGACTCTTGAATCCAGAACTTGGTAGATCAAAGCACACAGCCATGCATACTAAATAACCCATTGCAGCTCGGTGCACCTTGTCGCCGGCAAGCGCGCCTGAAAATGTGATGGAGGTCAGAACCTCGGCATGCTCCGGCGCAAGACAAGATTTCAACGTGAGTGCGACATGCATTCCCTATTTCGTGCAGTGGCCAGGCCAAAAGTCAGCAGTGTCTTGGTATTTCCTCGCTAGTACTTAGCCAGTACTCACGCAACAGCCCGGAACAATAGAGGGCGCATGCCGCGTCAACAGCAACTCTCTGCATGCTTCCTGGTGTGAGGACCTGGGGGCTGAGGGTAAGTGCAAGGATTCAAGGAAAATGGTAGTGACGGTAGGTGCAATCGTCTAACTGGGCGTTTCGGGCCATGTTTGCTTCCCTGGCATGTAACTTGGAGATCCTTGACTTCGCGGCAGTTTGCACTCATTGCAGATCATGGCCAACCTTCATTCGCGATCAGGCCAGGGGCATTCACTGTTGCCAGCACGGGCCAAATTGAGGACACTGTGGAAGGTGAGGTTGCAGATGGCACCTCCTCGTTGATCACCTTGCCATGACCGGCACATTTGTGTTCCAACTTCAACCCTGCAGGTAAAGAATTGTGTTCACAAAGGAAACTGAACGAAACACGCAGCTTCATGGCGTCCAAGGCTTCGAGTATCATGCAGAAGCTAGCGCAGGTGTGACGTGCCCCCCAGCCCCTGTGCCTGCAGAACTTTGTCCGTTTGCCGAACCCATTGGCAACTGTTTGGAGCTTGATAGCAGAGTATCTCGTTCAAGGAATGGGATGCCCCAACCTGCACAGAACGCACTACGGTACATGAAGAGCACAACTAAACTGTGCAGGTCACCGGATTTGTGCAGCCAGGCTTCAGGTCGATATGTCACCTTGCCCAGCGGACCAGGCACAAGCTCATCTTGAACGTCAAGGCTGAAGCTCTGCCGCAATCCGGAGTAACCTCATCGTTCACGGAGGACGCTTTTGTGTGAGTTCATGTTGGTTCCTACGCGCGATCTCTGCAAAGGCTGAGGTTTCTGCAGGGCGTGCAGCCTGTAATTTCCTGTGCAAAGCAAACTTTTCCGCCAACTTGAGGTTCTCCTTCGAAGACTTGCCATTTTCCCCAGAAGTAAATGGTATTGGCAGTGTTGCCCCTGATGGTTTTGGGGCTGAACCTCGGCTGAGATGCTCCGAGGTAAGTGGACCTGCGGGACAGCTGTGCCCTGAGCAACAAGTGCCAATTTGCTGCCAAGCACGATGTAATGATGCTCTTGAAGGTGACTTTCTTGATGTAGAGAAGGATATCTTCTTGTTCCGTAACGCTCGCCACGAGTCCTGGCACCTCAGCGGCAAAAGGTCTCAAGGCAGCATGCTGACCACCGCATGTAGGACCTTGTAGGACCTGGGATGGCAATACCTTGCCAGGCTTGGGCGAAGCGCGGATGCAACAGGTTACTGCGCAGAAAATCTAACTTGACGCTCTGGAGCTTTTGGCCTGCTGCTTCAACCGTTCTGGATTTAAAAGGGGCCGTATATCAGCAGTCTTTCATACCTCCTATCCTAATATCTAATGATTTTCCGAGGAGGGGGTGCCCTGAATGTAGGTGGAAGCTTAAGGTCCTCTTGTCAGAAAGGGTTGTGCTTTCGACTGGTCGGTCTGTTCGCAAGATGTTGGGTGTTCGGCATGGTGGTGACAAATGTAATGTAGCCATTCACATTCAGCTGCGTGCGCTCCTGCTGGAATGGACCAGCGAGAGGTAACAAAAACACCAAGACTCAGTTGTTCTCGGACAGCCCACAGTATAACGACTTTCGAGCTGTTCAGGAAATTTGGAACCTGGTGCGCTGAATTCATCTAAACCATTCTAAATCTAAACCCATGTTTCAATGCGCGCTCGTCAGAGTGTACAGCGCATCAATGGAGCTGCGCCAGTGGGCCATCGGTCATATTAGGAGCAGTCAGATTTTTGATCCAGCGTTTCAGGCGGGAAGCTGACGTCACTGGGATCGCGGTGACCAGTGCCTAGCCTAGCAAATTACTGGTGCATGTCGGGGTGCTTTCGGCCTGGGGTCCAAACAGGTGCCGGTTGTGAGGCGGGGACATGCACCAACATGTCAGGTAACTGAAGCTCTCGTCCTGACACGGCCGGAGAGGAATTCGTGCTGCTGCATCAGCATCAGCAGCAGCAGCACCGGCAGCAGCAGCAGCAGCATTGTTTAAGAACTCACCGGCTCAAGATATTGAGCTCCTCGCCAGCCGCGAGAATGCGTACGTAGGTACTTACATACATACGTACGTTCCGTTGTTTGGCTACATCCTTCGTTTGATGTCGAAATACTTCAGAAACCCAGAAAACGAGCCCTCGCTTTCTTAATTTGGGCCGAATAGGAGCCTCTCAAACCCTCCCAGACCCTCCTAGATGGGATCGAGCGCCAAAGCCCAAACTTATACACTTAGCTTTCAGAAGATGAAGGAGTTCATACTCGTGCGTTTTGATTTGGACCGCAGTGTCCCTGGGCAGCCTCGAGACACTGTTGCGCACGCCTGAGTTCAGAGCCTTTGTAAGCTCAGTTGGCAGAGCGCTAGGCTTGTAAAGGAACGATGCCTGCTGTCATGTCTGTGCATGTGAAATTGAAGGGCTTGTTTTCTTAAATCCAGCGCTCATCATTTTAGTTTGGGAGTGTTTGAATCAAGGCGTGGATTTCCTTCTCAAAATCGAAAAGCTCAAGGTAACAAATTCGGGGACTGTCCAGAGGCTTGCACCACTGAATTGCACACATTTTGAACAACACCATGCGCCGTATTCTTTCCTGAACCCCCCTTGCTCCCCAAGTCTCTTGAAACTCCCTGTGAGGCTGCTGATCCCTGCTGCCTGATGCCTCCGGCTTTTTCTGGGGGCTACTATACGCCCATCGCAACAACCCGTACGCCTAACTCAATTTGCTTGGGCCCGCCCTGGTTTTTACATAGATTTCGCAAATTCTATGTAAAATGGAGGAGGTGGAATGCCCGAAGGGAAAATGGGAATATTGTAAAGTGGAGGGGTTGCATAGTCCTTTCGACATCTGGTACGGTGACCTATATAATGTAAAATGGAGGCCTTGCGAACAGTTTGCACACACACATAAACACACATCCTGGGCTTGGGTAGTCTCTCAGCACGCTCTCTCAGACGTCTCTAGGCAAAACACCCGCAAAACCATGTGCCAGCGACCATGAACAGCCTTCCAGCCACACATACAACTTGAATGAGAGCGCATAGAATCTAATATCCCAAACCCTCAACCCTAGACTCCAAAACCCTTGAAACCCCAGAATCCAAAACCCTAAACCCTAGAATCCTAAATGCTGAGCCCCAGACCCCAAAACCCCTTAAACCCTTAGCCCTAGAGCCCTAACCCTACAATCCTAAACTCTACACGCCCGAGCCCTAAACACTGGAATCCCCCCCCTCAACCGTAAACTCGAAAATCCAAAACCCTAAGCCCTACAAACCAAGAATCCAACCCTAAGCCAACGCTAGAATCCTAAACCCTAGCTCTAGAATCACTCCGCCCGGCACCGGGTTGTGTTTCTGACACCTTTTTGGCGCAGTAGGTATTGCAAAATGGAGGGCTTTCAGCATCCGTCCCATATCCTGTATGAAATGAGCAAGTATTAAAAAATGGATGGCTTTCACCTTCCATCACGTAAGTTTTATAAAATCAAAGTGGGTGGGCCTCAGATGTATCTCTTTTTTTTAAGAGCTTGTGGCTTATTGTACTTCCTTTGACACGGGTTACGGGCCCCTCATTTTCACATTACTAGGCGTAGGGCTCAATATTGCTAATCATAAATGGGCGTTGCCCAAAATTACCTTCATAACAAAATGACCCCTTCGCGGAAATCCAAAGTTCCTTTCGCGCACCCCATCGCGAGCTTTTGCGGAAATTTACGATACTCCTTTCGCGAAATCCAAAGTACCTTTCGCGCGCACCATCGCCACCTTTCGCGGAAGGTCTTTTAAGCCATCCGTGGTCGTTTTACATAAA